TTCCAGCCTTGCTTCCTGGTCTGTCTTAGTTTGGAAGTTCTGCTGAAATCTGATCAACATCACAGCAGTATACAAGCCTCTAGTGACCTACAAGTGGTGGCTGCACTTGAATGCACTGGCTGAAAACCAAACACTGGCATCCAACATGAAGGTGAGAGTTTCACCATGGAAGCACTTCAGTGTGTGTATCTTTAACTAGATGTTGTTGTTGTTGTTAACTGTCACCAAATCAGTTCTGATTCATAGTGACCCTGTATAGGGTTTCTGAGGTGCAGCTGGTGGGTTTGAACCACTGATCTTTGTGGTTAGCAGTCCAGTGCTGATCCTACGGTCCTTTTAACCACATAGAGTTCGATATTTCAGAAAAAGTCTTTCAAGGTAAAACATGGACAATTCACAAACATCACCAAGTTTTGACAAATATATACCTGTGTAACCCACACCCTTCCCTGCCATAGCAAGCTGGGGATTTTGTACACGGCAACTCAATCGTCTTAAAACGAAGAGCAAGTTGTACACTATCACCCTTTCTAATTCAACTTTGGAAGTAATGTTTCTTCTTAACTGTACCCCATTTGTCGAGGCAGTCACAAAAGACCACCCAGTTTCATGTAGGGGCAAAGATTCTGCTACCTGTACAATTGCAGCGATGTTTGTATAACACAAATAGGCCCTTCAGTACTGCAGACATCAGGTGATGGCAACCCACACTGGGAAAAAGGTAGAAGAGGACAGAGAAGGCATTGAACATTAGATCGATTTAAAGGCATTCAAATATGCTAGGATTTCTAGATGACCAACTGTGAGTGTCAGAAAGCGAGTCAGGGATGACCTGGAGACTTTTGGTGTGAGTTGCTATTGACCGAGGTGGGAAAGAAGAAGAGGAGCACGTTAGCGGGAAGATTGGAAACCCAGTTTAGGCCACATTAAGTTTGAGAGTCTTGGCGTGGTGCTATGGGCTAATGCGTTGGACTGCAAAGTCGGTTAAAACCACAAGGTCGGTGGTTCAAGCTCGCCAGCCACTCCTCAGAAACCCTGTACAGGGTCATTAGGGGTCAGAACTGACTCAATGGCACTTAACAACAAGAAGCTCGAGATGCCCTTAGAACCCCTCCCTGACATCCCATTAGTGAAGATGGACAGCAAGTGCAGGTTGTAAGAACCTCCAGGCTGGAGACAGATATTTGGGGATTTTCAGAACAGAGGCTGAATCTAGAAACAAGAGGAGAGTGTGAGACCGGGGAGTGGGGGGGTGGGGAGAAGGAGGCTCCAGAAATCAGGATTAAACACAAGCCACTTATTGACTAAAATCGTGTGACCAAAGTCTTAAGGAATGTTGAAATTGGTACCACCTCTCTCCCCCTTGCTTTGTTGTTGTTGTTATGTGCTGTGGAGTCGGTTCCGACTCATAGCGACCCTGTACTAGGTTTCTGAAGCTGCAAATCTTTACGGGAGCAGAAAGCCTCATCTTTCTCCCATGGAACAGCTGGTAGTTTCGAAATGCTGACCTTGTGGCTCACAGCCCAATTTGTAACCACTACGCTACCAAAAGGAAATGGTTAATGTTCAACCATTTCAAGAGATACCATATGAACAAGAGCCAATGATACTCAGAGAGGAAGTCCAAAGTGCATTGA